AACTATTGACATTTTTAAAGATATAAGCTCATTCCAATGTTACACTCATCGAGACCGTTCATTTGAGTACCCACATCAATTTTTTATATATTTTCTATATTTATATATTTCACAAATACCATATATATGAAATATATAAAAAAATGCATGTGGGTACTTAAATGAAAGGTCTCGATGAGTATAACATCGGGATGAGCTTAAATCATTAAAAATGTTAATAGTTCACCAGGTATCTGGTAAATTGTACTGTACTTCCTTAACTATTGACGTTTTTAAAGATGTGAGCTCATTTCGATGTTACAGTCATCAAGAGCTTTCATTTGAGTACCTACATGCATTTTTGATATATTTTTCATATATAAATATATAAAATATATGAAAAATTGATGTGGGTACTCAAATGAAAAGTCTCGATGAGTGCAACATCGGGATGAGCTTATATCTTTAAAAATGTCGATAGTTCACAAGATACGAGGTCATTTCTTAATTATTTATCTAGAAATAGAGTATTTTAGAATGCAGCCTTAATAATTATCATAAATTGACTAACGATAAGAATAATATGAAACCTTGAAAAGGCATAAATTCAAATCAAGACCTTTGCAATGACACTAAATTTCACTAAAAAATCCGATTGTATCATACGACTATCATGGACACAAATTATTTTTATTCTCTTAATAATATAGATTAAACATACCTCGAGAAATTTTTTAGTTGATGCTTGAGAACAATGATAAGCAATAATAGAGGGAAATTGTCCTTGTAAAACAGCTTCAGCGCCTTTATTCGCTAATACCGTCGAAAAAACAAATATTTGGCTCTGCTGCTGCATATACTGGGCCTCACCACCAGTTCCACTGCCCATTTGCTTAGCAAGTACATTGCTAACCAACGGTTGGATACCATCTGTAAATAATACCAAAAATAAGATCCAATCTTTAAAAATCCCCTAACAAAACATCAAGAAAAAAAAATACATACCACTGGAAATATCATCACTGGGATTATGATCACTCTCCTGCTTAACCAGCCCGATCATAGACTGTCCTCCGTTGCCGTTTTGGGCATCCGCGGGCATATTATTATCCCCATTAGCAGAGTCCAGTCCCGGATCACGAGGACACTCGGTGGTGTCATCACTGACAGGGACGTCGTCGTGATTTCCACCGGGCGCTTCCTCTTTGATCTTAACCGCATCACCGTCAGGCTCCTCCTTGACGACGGTGCTCGAAATACAACTCGACTCATTGGCCTTACTCTTTTCCGTTTTCATGGCTCAAGATATTTGTTGCGGTTAAATGTCAAACATCAACAGCTGATTTTTTAATTAACAGCCTCATTATACTCATATCCGGGATACGTTTGGCGTACGTACCATAAACAATCCTCAGCTCGTACCAAAAGATTGAGGTTAAAAGCGCACAAATAATAAAAAAAAAAAAAAAAAAAAAAAAAAAACAAAAATGGAGATCACTCCTGTGATTTATAAATACAAAAATCTTTTAACCACACAAACTCCAGCTACATTAAAATTTTCTGTGGAAATAATTCCACGGTTGAAATTTTTATAGCTTGCTTTAAAATTAACCACTGGATAATTCATTTAATTGAAATATAATCTAACCAAAACACTCAATATCCAAGCGACTGGTCATCTTTGACAAATTCACCCGCTAAAAATCTCCAAGCCGTCACTAATCATCACTCATCATCATCAATCTTGAAATCTGTCAAAAATAAAAATAAAACAATAATTATATCCAATAAAATAATTATATTTAATTTATTAATTAAAAATAAATAATAAAAACTCACAATGCGGCATCAGTTGGCAACATAATCACCCATCCAGCCTCCGATACTCCGAAATGACCAGCAACAATCGGAACATGATCAGCCAAACGAAACCCAGATAAACACTTGTATATAAATTAATAAGCAAACTCGCGCGTCTTAAAAGTAACTTGCGACCACGTTTTACTCTTGTCCCTTTTTTTCAACACCTTCACTACCACCTTTCCGCACAACTACGTACCAAACTTGCTCGCTCTGCAAAATAAATAACTTATTTAATATTACATCTTACAAGTAACAATTGTTTTTTCAAATAATCGTAAACATACTTATAAATAATAATAATGGAAGCTTAATGTACACATAACAATTATTAAATATATATCACTGAGATGTGTACCCTCCACACATATATATATATATATTTGTCATATAAATTTTATATATGTGTATAAAGTATATGTATATGTATATATGTATATGGAGTATATATTTAATAATACAACTATCACTTAAAACACAGCATTCTTCTTTCTCTTGCTCCACACACAACTTTTATTTGTCACTCTTCATGGTCACTTTGATTATTTATTTCTTTTACGCACGGTTGCCAACTACCAGCCGCTCTCTTGCTCTCTCACTCCTTCAACTGAAGTTCGTTAGTTGGGAAACCAGACAACTTAACTCCAAAACGATAAACGTTTAACTTATTCTCACCAGAACTTTGTTTGTTTTTATATCAACCTTCATTTAAATTAAAAGTTTGTTTTTATTAATAAGCTTGTGTTATTTATCTTATTATTATTATTATTATTATTGTTTTAATTTATTTAAATAATATATAATTATGAATTTTAAATACCACTACTAATTATATTTACCTTTTCAGTGAGATGGCGCTATTTTTGTATTATTTGAATAAGGAAACAAGATGAATTTATTGTACCTGTAGGTAAAAAAAGGATAAAGATGGAGGAGATTGAAAAGAAGGAAAAGAGAGCAAGAATTATACTCTTAAATATGTATGGATGATATTCTTGTTACTAGTGTGATGGTGGTACAATTGTTAGTAGCTCTGCTTATTGATATAGTTAGCGGCTACTTTCATCCAAGATCTTCGATAATGATACTCAAAATAGCGGACCGACAATAGTTTTATTTTTTAAGTATTATATTATAAAAAAAAAATTTTTTCATGTCAAAATGTTTTTTTATATTTCTTGAAATTAAAGTTACCTATCATTTTTTAATTATGAAAATTAATTTAAGCAGATATTTAATAATTTTTAGAAATTTTGTTTATAATAATGATAAAGTTAGCCGACATTTTTTATTTTTTTATTTTGCTTAATTTATTAAATTATAACTAAAAAATATTTTTAAAAAATTGCACTTATATTTTTTAACAAATGAAAAATTTTTTTATAATAATTCTTTAATATAAAAAATCATATAATTTTTTTAGATTTCGGCTAACTTTATTTTCATTTTTTAACAATGAAAATTAAGTTAGCTGACGCTAAAAAATTTTTGATTTTTTTTTATTAATTAAAAATTAGAACTAAAAAGATATTTTTAAAAAATTCTAAAAAAATAATAAAATAAATTATAAAAATTTTTAAATGTCGGCTAATTTAATTTTCATTTTTTAACAAATAAATTATGGCAAAAAAATTGGTCAAGTGACAGCTAACTTTAATGTCATTTTTAATTTTATTTAATAAACAAATTTTTTCCGAAAAATTATTTTTAAAAAATTGCATTTTTAATTTCATTAAAATTTTTTAAGTCAATTTTTTTTTTTGAGCTACAATTTATTTGTTAAAAAAGTTATTAAAATTATCAAGTATCTGGTAAATTAATTGATAATTAATTATAAAAATAATATGTCGACTTTTTAATTTTTTTTTCTGATTTTTTAAAATAAAATTCTTTTATTTACAGATCCTGGAATACAAGATGAGTATATTTAAAATTATTTTAAAAATAAATTAATCAATAATAAAATATTTTATTAAATGAATTTCATTGTTTTTGTATTAAATCGCCGTCTCGAAAATATTTAATGAGGATTGAATTTATGCTTGGAGATGATACAAGAGCACTAAACCTGAATTCTTGATTAACAAGAAAAAAGGGGTTGGCGAACATAAGTATTATATATTTATGTGTTATGTATATTGTACACTTACAAATATATGTATGTACGTACAATTATAAATACAACTACCGCAATGCCGCCATTTGCTCTCATTTTTTTACTTTTTATCAACATTTATAAATATAATTTGATGGTTATAAATATCTGTACATATTTTCAGAGCTAGACGCATCAGACATCATTAAAACTAAATATTATATATATATTTGTACATACACATAAATATCCATAATATACTTGTATATATCTGTACATATTTATATACATACACTGATTAGCTAATTTTTGCATTGAGCAATAAATGAAATTAATCAAAATTAAAACTATTTTAATGAAAATTAAAATAGAAATTCGATAGAATTCAGAGCAGACAGGTTATTTACTTTTTGTAATTGATACTTGTCATAACCTCTAAATAAACGTCAGCTGGCTTGGAGCAAGACTGATTAAAAATTGGAGCGGATTTAAATAATCAAGAAAAAATAATTAAATTTATATTTGTAAAAAATGACGCAATTAGAACTGGATCCGCAATTTGTACAAGGATTGAGATTACTCCATTCGAGCAATAAAGACTCCATGGACCAACTGAGGACTCTGTTAGATGAAGCTATCAAACAAAAACATGGATTTTCTAAAATGCTTTGCAATGTTTTGCATAAAAAGGTATTTTAATTTTTAGTAATTAGTTTTAAATTTAAAAATTTATTTTTTCTTAAAAAAAATTTATTCTTGATTAATTAAATTAATTTTTGACTAAATAAATTTATTTTTTGATTAATTAAATTCATTTTTGACAGTACACTATCGAAGAACCAGTCCTAAGTGATCACAGTAGCTGCAGCAGTAAAAAAAGCAAAAGTTCCAGCTCCTCTAAACACTCAGCAAAGTTTAGTAAAAGCGATTCTGTAGAAGAAATTCCAGCACGTGACACTCCGCCTGACATATCTGAAATCGAGGAAGATAATCTTGCCGAAATTCTAGAGGATGATTTAACTTGCGTGGTCTGCAAGGGCATGGACGTCGGTGCTAGGAACAGGCTGGTTGAGTGTGCAGATTGTCACTCACTTTATCACCAAGAGTGTCACTCTCCCGTGATACAGGACTCGCAAATAGATGTACCTAAACATATTTGGTATTGTTCACAATGTATCAAAGCTCATCAGGTATTTTATTAAAAATTTTTTTTCATAATTTTATTGCAATAAAATTATGAAAAAAAATTTCCATGTGAAAATTAAAAAAAAATTATTTGTGGAAATTTTTTAAATCATTTTTTTTTTTTATTTAAAAAAATTGATAGTTGTCAGATAACTTTAGTATCATTTTAATTTTTTATTCTATTGTATTTTATAAGTCTTGATTTATTGTTAATGATGATTAAATTTTTTTAGCCGATAAAGGAAAAAGGTTCCCCGAAACCAGACTCTAAAAAAGATAAAAAAAGTTCAAGTAAGTTAATTTGTCGACTATTTATTTTGTTTTTTAATCAAGAACTGAAATTATTCATTTTTTTAGGTCAAAAACACTCAGAAAAATATAAAAGCTCGAGTGAATCTTCATCGAAAATAATACCAAATATAAATATCATAGGAGGTGACAAAAGGTTCAAAGAAGTAGCGAAAAAGTCGAAAGACAAACGGTCATCAAGTAAACACTCTAGTCCTTCGTCTTCCTCGAGAAGTTCAGATAAAACTTACAAGTCGAAATCAAATGCTGACTAGCTTAATTATAATTGTACATACTAGCAAAATTTACTTTTACACGTCTACATTTTTAAGGAGTGAAATTCAAAATTTTTTCCTCGGATTTTATTAAAATTAATATTTTAATAACTTTTACGGAAGGCTATTCCTTAAGACAGATAAGGAATATTTGGTTTTCTTTCAGCAGCTTAGGATTAAAATTTGCTGATTCTTCATTTTTATAGCAAGCCCAGAAGCTGCTGTTTGTACAATCTCGAGGGAAATATAATTCTTATCTTTGCTGAATTTTACAAACAAATTTATACAAGTATCTATTTAACAAGATGTTTAAATTATTTTTTTAATTAAATTAGCTCCAAAATTGAACAGAAAAATTTTTTTTTAAATATAATTTCAATTTTTAAAAATAAAAAATAATTAATTGGGTATAATAGTGAGTTAAATTTTTTTCATCAACAAATTTCATTCATTCAAACGTTAGCACTAAAAAATAATAAGATAAAATTTTCTTTTTTATCTATTTTATTAATAAATATAATATTAAACATTAATTAAATGTAGAGAAGCAGTATTTGATTTTTTCATTTCTTTTTTAATAAATAAAACAATTATTTATAATACCAATATACTTTTTGCAATTTTAATCAAGTTTGTTCCTACGTCCCATGAAAATTTGGCAAGAATCATTTCGTTAACTTTTGTTCATTTAATCCATCCTTTTAATTTATATCAATAAACTTATCAATTGTTTACTTTATCGTGTGTGTACGTGACTTATAATCTAAAGTGCTGGAGAGGGAATCGGATATTATTTACATGGATATTTTTTTTTTTTTTTTTTCATATAGAATACAATTATGAGCACACACGAGTATTAAAAAAAAAAAAGTCAGCAACTTTACAACTGTATTTTCATTATCATTAATATTAATATTATAATTATAATTATTATTATTTTGTTATAAAGTCTTCAAGTACATGAACAACTTGTACATACATGGACAATTGACAATTTTATTTCATTTATTTTTAGTACATATTATTTAATTAGTTTGTTTAAAATTCAATTAATACAATTAGCGTCTTTTACATCACAGCTATTATACAAAAAGTTTTTTATTCATTCATTATTATTATTATTATTTGTTTCTTTTTATGTACTTATACTTTACTATTTTTTTTTAATAAATAGCGTAAAAAATCATTTATTTTAAATACTCATGTGTGCACATTTAACGTACAGTTTAAGTGTACGCCAATCTGTTTAATTTTTATTTAATTCTGGGATTCCCAATTTTTATTAAATAATCATAAATTAATAAATATTAATTTTAGTGACCAAATAAAAAAATTTAAGTCCAATTGCAAATTAGTTCCGCATTTTAAATGCGACATAATTTTTTTTTATATTAAAAATAAAGTGTAATTTTTTTTTTATATATATAAACAATTTAGTGTATAAAAAAAATTAAATTAACAAATATTTTAAAGACACGTGTGCAATTAATTATAAGCACTTTTTTATGAATTTAATTAGGAAGACGTTTTGCCCATTGGGGTAACACGTTTTATTATTTACGTGTCTGTAAATAATACATTTTTATAGTAATAATAATAATAATAATGATAATTTTAATAATTAATAATTATTAACGATACTATACAGCAAAAAAAATATCTAGCGTAATTAATATAATTTAAATTACAATGCACAGATTGACGTACTCTCGTCATGGAGTCAACTCCTTAAATGCAAATAAATACAATATAAAAACAAATATTACGTACACAAGAAATAAAAAAAAAATTTTTTTTTTTTTATTATATTTATATTTAATTAATTTATTTACTATATAGACTTATTTATCATTAAATTTATTCAGTAGTTTAATTCAGTACTTTGCGGATGAATTTAACAAACTGTGTATTTAAGTACAAGTGTTGAGTAATTAAAAAAAATTTTCTCAATATAAATTTCTTGTATACGTAAAATTTAATTTTAATTATTTTTAATTTTAATAATATCATTCGGACGATAACGATTTCAATAGTCGATTTTAAATTTCAATAATTTATTTAAATTTTTTTATGTGCGTAGAAGAGCGCCGAGAGAGCCTTGGCAGTGCTCAATTTATTTTTTTTTATAGTTCATTATTTTACTTTTAATTTAATTTTTTTTGTTCATTACTTTAGGCGCAGTCCAGGCGTTTCATTCTCACGCAATTTGCTTTTGTATAAAAAGAAACAAAATATATAAATATATACGCTTATAATTGTAAAAAAATAATTATAATAGATTGAGAAAAAAATACAAAAGATTGTAAACAAAAGTAAAAAAAATAATTTCCAGTCAGTCACTCGGTTTAAAAAAAAAAAATATGTATAATTTTTTTTTGTTCGTTTTATATATATTTATATGTATATGTAATTGTATATATGTATACTGAGTATTTAAACTTAGACATGGCCATGCTATTGCATACTGAATAAGTGTAATCACATTTAGCTGTTTTTCATTTTTTATCATTTGATAAGTAGCTTTTAATTCAGTACAATTAAAACTGTTATTATCAATTATGTTTATTAATTAAGTGTAAAGAATATTTTTATTAATAAAAAAAAATTTTTCAATCAATATAGTGGAAATTTTTTTTCGCCACAGATATCACTGAGTATAATTTGGGATAACATCCAGTATCATTTTGTTCTTTCTGTTTTATGCGTACACGCATAAAAAAAAAAAACACTAATTATATTGATATAATTTTGCAGAAATATAAATAAAAATAATTTAACAATTAATTTAATTATAAAAAATAGTACACTCAATTAATAAATATTTGTAAATAATACAGTAATAAATGAACCATTGAATCGATGTACAATAGATACTCGGAGACAAACGAACTAATTGTCTAATGTGTATCTATCAACTGTGCCATCGATAATTATTTGACAATAAGGAGTTCAGGCACATCTTGATTCTTATTATTTGTTTTTTTTTTTTAATCATTTTTTCTTAATCATGAAACTGGTACAAAAATGCCGCTTTTGCTCTATCGCGTCTATTCAACTACCGCTACCTATTTTCTTAATGAATTTTAATTTAATAATATTACAAAGTGGTTATAAAGTTACTTTTTCACGGTAAACTAATTCAATAACTTTAGTATTAAAAAAATGAAAAACAATTACTCTTTAAAGTTTCGGAGATTTTAAATAAACTGAGAAAAAATAGTTATTAAATTCCACAAACTTTAATTTAAAAAAAAAAAAAAAAAAAAAAAAAAAAAAAAAAAAAAGTTTAATTTAAAAAGTTACAGATCCAGTCAAAAATCCTTTATATAATTACTACTAACTTTTTAATTATGAAAATTTTATATCGGAATATTAGTATGATAATTAACCAATGAATTATTAACTGTTTAAAATTTCGTTTGTTACAGTCTTTTTAAATTCAGTACTTTAATTACCGGTAAATTATTTAATAAGTAACTATTTAACCACTCTGCTATCAATTAATAAGTCTGTCGTCAATTATTTCATTAATAATAATTAATAATGATAATAATAATAATAATAATAATAATAATTGTTACAGTAAATACAGACGTAACGACCGGACAGCAAATTACGAGAAAATACCGCGCAAAAATATTACAAGTACACTATTTTATTTGTTCGTAAACGTTTAATTAATTTTTTTTTCTATTCACTTAATTGTAAAAACCATTTACAAGATTCATTATGAAGAAAAAAAAATGATAATAATAACAAGTATAAAATAAATTGTAAGTAAAAAAAAAATAAATTGTTAATTAACCATGAGTCTTGAGATAAGAGTATTTAAACAGTACTCAACTCCATTGTAATTGTACGTAGGCTTATAGACCCAAGTGAGCTGCACTAAATTAATAATAACACTTGACACAGCAACTCTCAGATTTAAATAATTATTCTATAATTTCAATCTCAATTGTTGTCACATTTGTTCAAATAAAACAAATAATATCATTTATAAATTTGTTATAATTAATCACCGAGAGTTTTCTAAAACATTAATCGTTACTTATTATTACGAACTAATTAAATATTATTTGTTTCTTATATTCGATTCTCTTAACGAGAGGCATTCAGCCTTACAATTTTTTGTTAATAATAATAATCATAATTATAATTATTATCATTATAGTTATTATAATAATAATAATAATATTTATTTATACATATATAATCCCTCTCTAACTAGCTCACTACATTCCATGGATGTGCTTCCGCGCTTTATTATTTTTTTTTTTATGTATAATATTTATATATTTATATATATATATTTATAATTTTTTTTCATTAAATTTATATTTATATATAATTTATTCAATGTGTATATATATAAATTTATGTTTATATATACGTAAATATCAATTCTCGTGTATAAAAAAAAAGATAAAATATATCCGTAAGAATTGATACGCAATATTTAATTATCAGTGAGTATTTAATGGTACGCGGTTAAATGCCTTCGTTATTAATATTATTATTATTATCATTATTATTATTATTATTATTATTATTATTATTATTATTATTACTCAATAATCAATCAATTTCTAAAGTTTTTATACACAAATTGACATTAAATGTCAATTTAAAAAAATCTAAATAATTAATTAGTCAATTAAATAAAATACAATAAAAAAAATTTACAGATTCCCACAATTTTACACTATTCAGTAAAAACTGAATATTTTTCAAAGGCATACCATAATCACTCACGATTACTTTCCACCAAATCCGTCCACTATATCTAACATAATAATAATAATATATAATATAATAATATAATCATTATTATTATTATTATCGTTTATAATAAAAATAATATTAATAATAATTATTTATCGTAGACGATAAGACAGTAGGCATAGCCACACGTGCTCGGATCACAGATTGCTCGCTGCCCGTACACTTTTATCTTTAAATATATTTGTACAAACAGTACTGATGGACACAATGACTGATTTCTTTCACTTATTTATCTCTTCATTCAACTCGTTTCTTCTTTTTATTTCCTCATTTTTTTTTTAGTCTCTCTCTCTCTTTTTTTTTCCCCCGGTTGTTGTTTTTCTATGCACAGAGTCACGAGTCACCAACGAACTTATGACCTGTCACGATGCTAAAGTTTTTTATTTTATTTATTATTAAAGTCCATAGCTTTGTCCAGCTATCGCAATTGTCACTAGCAATCTCGTTTGTATCACTTAATCGATAATGTGTTACACTTTTATACAAGTTTACGAGGTGTTAATGCGTATGTTTATGTTATATGTATTTAGCAGAATTAATGTGTTATGTGAATCTCTAGGGATTTTAAATGGATTGTTTGTGTTTTATCTGTAATGAGTGAGAGTGTAAGTGTGAGTATTTATTATGAGTGAATGAGTGTAAGTCTGATGCGCAAAATCGAGGCACTAATCAGTAATTTTAATCCGAGGTTTGCTTTTAATATTTAACTGTTCAATGAATGGAGTTCGTTTGAATGATGTTGTGTCAGCAGGCACTGGTCTCCTCACCCTCCAGTGTGCACGCTACATTTTCAAGTCTATGCGCTAAATGCAGCTTGCGACATCCCGCGTCTGATTCCAAGGCCTCAAGAATCTAAAAAATATAAATAATTAATTATAATAATTAAATACTGGCAAACTTGCAGTCACTATGTGACTGCCGAGATTTGTGAAATATAAATAAATAAAATTTTGCTTTATTAAATAATGACTTTTGTTAAATTGCACTTAACTTTTTCAACTATTGACGTTTTTAAAGATATAAGCTTATCCCGATATTACATTAATCGAGATCTTTCATTTGAGTACCCACATGGCATTTTTTATATATTTTATATATATATATATATATGGTATTTGTAAAATATATAAATATATGAAATATTTGAAAAATTGATGTGGGTACTCAAATGAAAGGTCTTAATGAGTGTAACATCAGGATGAGAGTATATCGTTAAAAATGTCAATAGTTCACAAGATACAAGGTCATTTCTTAATTAATTAAGTAACTAGAAATAGAGTATTTTTGAATGCAGCCTTAATAATTATAATAAATTGATTATCGGCAAGAATGATATGAAATCATTAATTTTATTCATAGTTTAAAAAAAATAAATCTATATATATAATTAAAATGTCAAGTATGAATTTTTAATGGTTCTGCGGTACTTAATATTTCTTTTGATACTCCACCTCAAGACGGTGGTTACAAAAAAATTTAATGATCAAAAAAAGGTATGAATTAGTAGCGTTAAAAATTCAAGACAGCCTTTTTATTTATTAATTATGTAAGAAAACTAAATAAAAAAAATTAAAATATTTGAATTAAAAAGTGTAATAAATAATATAACAAATACTAACTTGTTCATAGTATTTATGGACGTAGATGTATAGTTCCTTAAGAGCAGCAATAACGTCAAATTCATTGCCGTGTGACGCGCTTAATTGCTGCATGGCACTTGAAATATCTTGCTCAGTAATAGCCGGTAATTTTTGTACATCATGATAAAATCTACCAACTTTGTCACGATAGTGCGGTATGTCTTTAGCGAACAATAATTTATTCGAGGGTGAATCTTTTCCCAGCCGGTGCTCGGTCGTCGAGCATGCATCCATAAACATTTGGGCAATAACAGACAAACTCGAGTCAACAGTTGTCGACTTATTTATGTCAAACATAAAGTCTGGATTTTTAATAAAATTCACCCAGAATCTCAGCGGTAAACTGTTAGACTTCCACGCGTGAGCTACCTCTGGGTCCGTAATCCCGTGGCGCTTGGCAGCTTCATCCAGAAAGTCAAAGAGCCATTTAACAGCGCTGGGGAGTGCTTCATTAGCCGTGAGGATAGTATTAAGAAAATCATCCACGAATTTTTGTACAGTCCCTTTGGTAGAGAGTAGCCTGGTCAAGAATATCTCCGGGATAGCTTTGTGCGTGCACTCAGTATGATGATGATGGTGCTTGCTGTTGGTGAATCCATTGCTGGGCGGACAGTGGACCTCGTCAATAGGTCTTATCAGATGCCAGAGCCGCTGATTACCGGAGCTTTCAATGTCTCCATTGGCGGTGATCAAAGAAGGCGAGTGTTGGGCGTCAAAATAGATCCCAGGAGGATGAGGATACATAATAGGACTGAGCAATCCATGACTGGGCGTCGAGGGAAGGTGTCCAGTGGCTGGGACAATGATTTTTAATTGTTATCGTTTTATTTCAATTAATTAATAATTATTATTAGAGCGGCAAAAAACCAACATAAAAAAATTTTTTTTTTACTCTCAAGTAATTAAAATAATTTTCTATCAATTATATTAAAATCGCTCTATTGTTATTTTTATTATAATTATTATTATTATTATTATTATTATTATCAGTAATTGCAAGTCTTCCAAATCAAAATAATTATTCCAATTGTTTTTTCTGAATTTTGTTATTAAAATCTAATGATGATAATAATTATAAATAATAATTTGTATAGTTACCAGGAAATTTAAAAAAATTGAAAAAATTTAATAGGAAATTAAAAAAATAAACTAGATAATTATAAAATAGATAAAAAAAAAAATAAAATAAGGGCCTGTGATAGTTAAAAATGAATACTTACCGGAGCAGTGGTTTATCCGGTGCAGCGAGTGGTGATGCGTGTGCTGCTGATGGTGCGAGGAAGGTTTACACGTGTGATAAGGAGTCTTGCAGCCCATCGTGAAGGCCTCGTTCTGCCTCGGAATCAGAGACATCACCGCGGACTCTTTGACTCCATAATGAGACAGTGTGTTAATTTTCTTCCAGCCTCCGCTGCACTTGGTCGTCAGATCCTCGTCTTGGAGAGTCAAATGTCCACCGCGACCGTGCCGCCACTCCAGGTCTACATTATGTATGGACGGCCTCAGGGAAAAGGGAGTGTTTTTGTACAACGCGTCGAGTATCTTCGACTTAACTTGACTAATAGTATCGCAATCCAGAACTTTGCACTGGATTTTTTCGTCAAGATCATCTTGGACCACGTGCAGAGTCACGATGCTATGATCTATTTGCTCGCGCAGCAGCCGCTCTTCCGATAAAGAGTACCTCGCGTCGTGAGTCACCACATCCACAGGACCCTTTTCGATCTGATGTTTAATGGCTTTGAAGAGCAGAAAAAGCGATGACGCCGCGTAATCTTTTAAATAATTATACATACACAGCGCCATCCAATTGGTCAGCATTTTTTCAACAACAGACTCCGTGCGTCTTAACATTAACTGCGGATGCTTCGTATCCACTGACTTGTCAATAAGTCTCAGTAATAAATTCATCAGGACATCCGTGGCGTACTCCATCTTGCCCATCAGCACGACCATCAGCAGAGAAGCTACGTTTACTTTATCCCGGATATTAAAATCCTTTTGCGCTTCCAGGGTTTCAATGAACGTCAAAATAAAGCACTTGTTGTTAACCAATTGCTCAAATTGAATCATCGCGGTGTCGTAATTAGACCTGGATAACGCGCTACGTGACCTAGGGTCGCTGAGTATCGGGTGATCGAGCACTCCTGGAAAAAATACTTTCATAATATAATTTTTGTGGTCGAGTGTCGGAATACCCGAGGATTCAAGATCGGCTGTCAAGTCAGTCATATCAGTTTGAAGCTCAGCAAACGCTTGCTTGCACTCCATTCTTATGTTACTCTCCAATGTGTCCATTTGAATTTGGATTCTCTTGTACTCCCTTTCGGCTTGTGTGCTTTTTCGTCTGTATACTATGAGAACTAGCACAAACAAAAATACCAAACCAAATGTACCGGCAGCAATACCAGCGATAGCCTCCGGTGGTATTGGATAAGATTTAATTACATCATACTGCAGATAACCTATCGGAAAACGTAGGCTTCTGCCAACACGTACTACAACCAGTGGCAAGCCACGTTTTGTTTTAATACCCATTTCATCAGTAGCCACTGGCTGTTGATCCGGTGGCGTACACACTAATTGTGTGTGCGCTAATGACGTAACATTGCAGACCGCAGTACCCACTGTTACGTTAACATCAGTCTCATCACTCGCGTAATTCAAATTTTCACCCTCTATCACCAGAGTGTCGCCTTTGTATAATTTAACCATGTGGGGGAAGGAAAAAAATTTTGGATCTTCAACATATAGCAAGCGATGTCGTAGATTTTGAAAGTGCTTCTCTAAATCACGGACACTCTCGACGTTGTCCATCACAAAGGCTATTTTCAGCGACAGCTGAGTGTCTTTAGTACCACGGGAGGCTATCAGAGAGTGTGGTTGTTGTTGTTGTTGTTGCTGTTGCTGCTGTTTGTAAATCAATGAGCGGACTAATCGCTTAGCGCGGTGATTGTAGAACTTATCAGCAACACTGGGGCTCGGACACTCCATTTGAGTGGGATTCAGTACACTACAAACAGTTCTATTTACCGGCTTCAATTCGTTGTCTGCGTAAACTTCTATCTCGGGTTTTTGTATGGTGTCTAAATTGGTCCCGTGGACGGTTATCATGCGTCCGCCGGATACAAAACTACGTAAAGGTTTTATCTCCATAATTGTTGGATCTTGGGTGTAATTAAAGGGATTATTTGTTAGCGTACGATTAGCACCGTCTATACTCAATGTTAATGTTTGAATTTGTCTAACACTATTTGATTTACTTGTAACACAAGTTAAACGTGTACTGCTAGCTTGTGTTGCATTAACATGACACTTTAATTCGTCCAAATATGCAGATATCGTACTTCCAATATTCAGGTACTCCCCAGTGATTGCTATTTGTGTACCACCACTTTGAGGGCCAACGGACGGATAAATACCGGACAATTGTATATCTTTGTATTGAAACAATACTGTACTTTCGGTGTAACCAGCGTCATTCCCAACAACAACAGTAGCCTTGTCGGTGGCCTCTCGTGCTCCAGTCCGACAAATGATTCTCACGGAGATTTCATAGTCTATTAAAACACAAGGTGTATTACCGATGTGAATTTTATTAGAAACATCGCTGCGCTTCAATCCCAAATTGCTGCCCTCAATAGTGACAAGAGTCCCACCTTCAATGGGTCCACTGAGCGGCCGTATCATGTCTATACGAGGTTTAGGACACTCGGAGAAGGGAACATGGAGACACGAGTGCCGATTCATACAGCTGTTGCCACACCACGAGCAGTCGAACCTCGGGTCTCGTGTCATACAGAGCGAACAATCGGCATGCTCGCGGTGGGAACCCAGTACCTCACATTTGTACAGAATAATTGTTGTACGATCTACATGGTGGTTTGTATTCCATACAACAGTAACCGATGCTTCGTACTCCCCGGTAGTAGCTTCGTATGAATATATTGTTTTATCACAAACAATGAACCTACTGCTGTCTACTCGGGCTTGTACGCGCAAATTAGCTCCCTCTATTGACACAATGCACTGAAAGCCAGTGTGACCAATTTGTGGATGCGGTAAATTTTCAACCTCCAGTACTATTTCTTTCGGAACGTTGTTCGGTAGCATCAGAGGCTCTTGACGTCGAGAAAATCTCGGACAATATTGAACACCGTGAGCAGCCAGGGTGGCTGCGTTGGCGTTCTCTCCGGATATTATGTTACCCTGACAGCCGCTGGTGTTGTGGGTGCACTTGTTGTCGTAGACACACCAGCTGCAGCTCCATGGTGAAGTGACGCACTCCGAGCACAAAGTGTGTCTTGAACAGTCAAAGTACGCAAAGTTACGGGACACAAAATCTTTGTTGGTCTCACTGGAGCGGACTGACAGCGGTACCAAGACATGGTCCGTGCCCTCGGGTATCGTAGGACGACGCTGAATCGCCGGAGCTGGACAAGACAATCCTGAACCGGTCATTATTGCGTCGATTGGCTCCGAATTACCGAACACACACTTGTAATTAGCCCCAGATGGTAATTCCGGCAGTGTTCTGATAGTCAGTTGGACTGTTGCCAGTTGCTTAATAGGCAGACGATCTGGTAGCACTTGCTCAAAGTCAATGCACTGCTGCCCGGTGCTCAACGACAGCCACCTTGGACTGCTGCGATTTGCTTTCTGACACGTACTGCGAACAGTGCAGCGTTTCTCCAGCGAACACCATCCGCAGTACGGATCTTTTGCGTCTAGACACGTACTGCAGCTGGTGTAATCATTGCAGTGCTCAACTTTGACTTTTGTTATTCTTCCAGCTGATAGAACGTAAATGTAAGCCCCGTCGGAGGACAGGATCATGTCGGACATTATTCTGTGTCCCTTGTCAACGACGACGCTCTCGTAGACGGACGACTCGGAGCCTGACAGCAGGACTTTCTTCAGCAGACCGTCGTTGGTGCCTAAAAATGCTACAGTATGGCTCTCTGTGTTGGCGACTGTTACCGAGGTGACGAAAGTATCGGGAAACTGTAGAATGGCATGCCCGATAATCGGTGAGACTCCCGATATTTTAAGACCCACCTCGCAGAAATTAATAATACTCCCGGTAGTACCGGCCTCCGGACATTCTCCATCCTGTATTGGCCCGCTTATGTAACCCATGTTGCGGTACTTGATGCTGCCGTTGAAGCACATGTAGATGTTTTCGTTGAATTTAGCCTCAATGTCTTGGAGACTGTAGACACAGAGAGCTGAACGGGGCAAAGGCTCATTGGTGATTCCCTTGCTGGGCGAAAAGACCGATACAAATACTGGATCTCCCGTAGTGATACCCAACTGGGAGGCTAAATCACTTCCGGCGGCAGCAACTTTGGCATCCTGTACTAAATTATAAACTTGCTCGGTACCGTTTCCCATATCAACATTGCACTGGAGCGTCACTTCGGTGTAACTATCGTAATTAGAATCATTAATACAGCTACGTGCTAACCGTGATACGTAACCCAATTCCTCTTGTTCCGGCAAATATGATTGTTTCTGTACAAGAACAAAGTATGCATAATCACTTGCATTGAAACCATAAATATACTTAACGAGAAAGTGATCACGGTATTTAACGTCAATGTGAAGTATTGATTGCTTCTGGAATGTGTACTGTGCATACTCAAGAGTACCAAGTTGACGACTGGATATTGCTGGCACGTCGTGTCGATACTCCCCGTTATTTGTAAACGTTGTCCCGACGTAGAGAATGTTGCTGGTATGCTCCCAGGCATTGTATCGTTTTGGCCCGATAAATGCATACGTGGATGAATACTCGTCATTGGCTGCTACACTGTGCGGTAAGAAATTTGGCTTCTGTGAGATATTCGATATATTGTACTTCTCACAGGCACCTTGAAGCAAAGAACCGCACGCTATCAGTGTCTTTGACTCCAGATCCGCTATCAGGAGTTTGTTTACATTGTCCATCAACGAGGTTGTCATTTCACGTGATGTACATCCGGTTGCATGGCACTGGGGATTATCTAACCTTGGTCCTGCAAATAAATTTAAAATACCATCATTACTATCAATTGTTTTTTATCAAGATTAATATCTTTTGAATTATTATTATTAATCATCATTACAGTAATACGGGCTCTTTTAGCAGGAGCTCTAAGTTCAGAGATAACAGACAGGAGCTTGCTTCATTGCTAATAACTCAATCTGTTATTTCCAATCAGCTAGCCCCTTGGCTATTGTTTAACTTATTTTATTGAATAAGCAATTAGATAATTCTCTGGAATGATGATACTTTTAGTTTTCCTCAGACAAAATATTTTACCGAGATATTTTTTTTTTAATATTCATTATGAGTTTATATTTAGTACTCACAATATATACTTTTGATGAAGTAATATTATATTTAAATTTTCTGGGTCTAGTCAAGCAGCAAAATTTTTTTTTTTTTTCAAATATAATTTTCATTCTATTTTATGGAACAAATAAAATTTATTTCATTGCTTGCTCAAAGAGTATTTTAAATTCTGTTACAATGTGTAGAATATAGTTTTCACAAATTATTCTACTGTACATTTCTCTTTGAAAAATTTATAAATTAAAATATTTTTGTTAGAGAAATAAATTTCTACCAAAAAAATTGTTACAACTTTATTTGCACCATTAAGCAAAATATCAAGTAAAATAAATAAAAAATAAAATAATTAAAGAGCATTTATTATGTTCAATATTTAATGAAAATAAATTTAGAAGATATTTAATAGTTTTTTTTTAACAAATAAATTATGACAAAAAAAAGTTGACAGAAATTAAAAAAAAATTAAATATGTAATTTTTTAAAATTATTTTTTACAACTAATTTTTTTGTTAAAAAAAAAAATTGCCAAGTGACAGCTAAATTTAACATCATCAGTATTTATAATAATAAAATTAGCCGACATTTTTGATTTTTTAATTTTGCTTCATTTATTAAATTAAAACTAAAAAAAATTTTTTAATTTTTTACAGATAAAATTAAAAAAAAAATTTTTTCATCATAATTTTTTTAATAAAAACAAATTTTACGAATTTTTAGATGTCGGCTAACTTTTTTTTCATTCAATATTTAGTCACAATTTTACTGAATAAATATTTTATCCGGTTTGGTTCTTTTGTCAGAGGATATTTTACCGAAGCAGAATAAAAATAAAAATAAAAAAAAAAAAAGTAGAAATATAAATAAAAAGGAAAAATTTACCAGTGGATACAAGTTTCTCTAATTTGAGATTTGCGTCAAATTGCATCAGTCTATTAACAGCTCCGGCATAGAGTCTCCCGGTGGTTGGATCAATCGTGAGATGATTGAAACGTAGTGGTCCTTCACGGGTTGAATTGGCGTCCAATTTGGCAAAAGTGTCGATGAGCCTTAGCCCGGATTCAGGTGGATACCTTGCGACAATATGCTGGGTCGAGTTGTCTTGGGACGCCGAAGCTGTGGAGGAGGACGAGGAGGCTGATGAGGCGGATGATGACGAAGGGACGGTCTGTGCAGATGCTATTGTTGTACTTATTGTCAGTGTTACAAGGACCAGTGTGAATAGCCATACTGATGAAAGGACTGATTCGATGGACCTCAAGCTTTGTGGTGATCTCAGTACGGGTGTTTGCGTTTGTGTTGCTGTTTGTTGGGGCGATGTCGGCGTACGTAATCGTGGCGGCGGTGGTACCACCAGTAAAATGGCAAAAGCTTTTGGTCCAAAGAGTCTCATTTCGTCGTGGTAAAAGTGGATAAAACATACAGGGTTAAGAGTTTGGGAAGGAGAGCAAAAAATAATGTATAATGAGTCGTAGTAATGGTCGTAATGGTGATGGAGGTGATCCCAGTAGCTGAGCCAGTAGTCGTAGTAGTATCGGTGCCAGTGGTATAGGAATAGTTGTAGTTGTAGTAGTTAAAGGAAAGGTAAAAAAAGATTTTTTTTTTCTTCTTTTTTTTTTATAAAGAAGTTTGAAATGGGTAAAGAGCAAATGGGGAAGGAATAAAGAGAGGGAGAGGGAATAGAAAGGGAAAAAGAACCCTGCTGGTAGTTGGCCAATGTCTAAAAGGCGCTACCAGCTCCGTGTGTATTCACACTCCAGCATCATGCTCACTGTCTCGAATTCCTGGAACAACGACAGATGTTTATTCATTAATATTTATTATTATTATTATTATTATTACAAATATTTTTGTTATTATTATCACTGATATTGTAATGTTATACTAGTAACCTTGCAGTCACTATGTGACTTCCATGATTTGTGAACTATAAATAAAATTTTGCTTTATTAAATGATAAATTTTGTTAAATTGCACTGTACTTTTTTAACTATTGAAATTTTTAAAGAAATAAGCTCATCCCGATGTTACACTCATCAAGAGCTTTTATTTGAGTACCTACATGCATTTTTGATATATTTTTCATATATACATATATATGATATATATAAATATATGAAAAATACATCAAAATGCATGTGGGTACTCAAATGAAAGCTCTTGATGATTATAACATCGGGATGAGCTTATATCGTTAAAAATGTCAATAGTTCACGAGATACAAGGTCATTTCTTAATTACTGACATTTTTAAAGATATAAGTTCATTCCGATGTTACACACATCGAGGCCTTTCATTTGAGTACCCACATGGCATTTTTTATATATTTCATATATATGGTATTTGTGAAATATATAAATATATAAAATATATGAAAAATTGATGTGGGTACTCAAATGAAAGGTCTTGATAAGTGTAACATCAGGATGAGCTTATACCCTTAAAAATGTCAATAGTTCACGAGATACAAGGTCATTTTTTAATTATATATCTAGAGATAGAGCATTTTCGAATACAGCCTAAATACTTATCATCATAAATTGACTATTAGTGAGAATGACATGAAACCTTGAAAAGGCAAAACTTCAGGTCAAAACCTATCCAACGATACCAAATTTCACCATAAAAGCCCATTTTATCCTATAAATACACTGGCTAAAAATTTTTTCTTACTCTCTTATTAATATAGACATAATTAAAATAATATTTATACACACGTGTTATTAATTTACCGGGTAATTATCAATGTTTTGTTTGATAAGATATCGCAGTGGGTATTTATGTTTGATTAATTGTTATGAATCCTTATGAGGATTATCTCACATTTGCCAGTACAGAGAATCTCAGACACTGTACATCTACGGTAGAATAATTATGGATATTTATATTGCTTAGCACCCATTAATCTCCTCCCAGTATAGGCGATCTATGTTTTTTTAAAACTCCAGACTATGATTCGATAAAATTTTATTCAAATATTTGTTCTTGAACTTTGTAGACGTAAAAACTTTTGTTTAATTAATCCTCTGTGTCTGATAGATCGGGACCTGAATGTTTAAACAAGATTAAATCTGTTACAAGAGGATACATTTATAAGCTTAATCATTTAAAGACGCTCGTAAGGTACTTGGGAGCCCAATGCTACCTAACTGTTTACATATTTTATTTACGGTTCATTAACATTTTTTCTAATCTTTTCATGATTGGTAAATTATTTGTTTTTTTTTTATCTGTCAGTGTATTTGTAGAAAACTTATTGTTGAACTAATGTTTAATCAGATAGTTATTTATCTTAAACAGGGATTTGATTTTTAGATAAATTAAAATCTTTTCAAAACTGATGTTTTTTAAATTTTTAGATTATAATTTAAATTTAATTAAAAAAATTCAATTTTGTTCTCATATAAATTTTAATTCTTTAAATATTTTGACAGCTCTAAAATAATCAATGATATTTTTAAATCTTTTGATACGTAAATTAGCTTTGTATTAATCATGACTCAAAACGTGTATCGTAATTATAATTATTATAAATTCTGATAATTTATAAATAATTTTAAAAAATTAATTATAAAATTAAAAAAAATTAATAATAAAATTTTAAACAAAATTAATTATAATAATAATAAATAAAAATAATTATCAAACATCAAAGATAAAATTCAAACCTAATAATAATAAATCTCAGTTATTACGAGCGTCCTTAAACCGATTGAATGATTCTTTAATTAGCCAAGCCTCTTATTAAAAACCAACAGTCATCTTAGATTCTCTTGTACATTAATAATAATAATTATTATAAACAATAATAATAAAAAAGAAGTAAAAAAAATGTGAAAACGTTGTGAGAGATGGTTCAAGTATCGAGCGTACAAACAAAGACCATATAAAGCATTCAAATAGAATAATGAAGTCTCAATGTTTTAAAGTACTACTTGAATCCCCGACGACGTTGTTTTTACAACAATAAACTGTAGGAGCTGAGGCATAACCAGCAGGAGCATAACCAGTAGCAGGAGTAGAGCTCCACCAGGAGTAGGAGCAGGATCCCTTTTGCCCATTGACATTTCAGCTCGTAAATTAATAATGACTAATGAGGAATGCACAAGAGATGGCTGCAGTGCTATGACAAACGGGCCCAGGTGGCACTCTCCCCACGACAACTACCACCATCACCGAGGTATTCACTCTACTCTTTCCTCTTATACTCTTACTCTAGAGTACCCTTACATACACACCGCCCTTTGCTATACGGCGCACACTACTGTTCAAATATCTACTTCTACCTAGCTCTTTAGCTCTATATCTATATATATAAATATATATGTATATATATGGTGGTACATTACAGCGATGTATGGTGTATAGGGAGAAAGCGCGGGGGGGGGTGAGAGGAAAAGAGGGAGAGAAACGTAGGCGCACTTGACAGCTAAGGCCACTGTCTTCGCACAAAGGCAAGGCTATCGTCCCCCCTGTGTATCATCATCAATTTTCTCTTCCGACAATTTATTTCCCTAAAAAAAGTTAAAAAAAACTCCGTACAATGCACCCGATCTGTAAAAAAAAAATATTCTTTTAACTGATATATCCAATTGACGGAAAATATATTTTTTATCTAAAAACTCGAGTACCCAGCGAAGAAGTATGTACAAATAAATGCAATTATCAATGCGCTCTCTACTATATACCGAACCTTTGTCTACACGCGGTGTTCTTCATTTACCAAAATTTCTTCTTTTTTTTTAATTTTTTATTTAAAAATTTTGAGTTTTAAATTACCAGCAGCACCTAGATGTGTAAATGAATTTTAATTACAATTTATTTTTTTAATAATAAATTTATCCGTAGAGTAGAAATTACCTTATTCGATAGAGAACACACGGGGACATTGTTTCTGAATTTTGTTGAATCTGAGGATCAAGGAGTCACTAAATCGAGAGTAACAGCAGTCTTGAGCATGATGAGGATGGTGTGCAAACATGAATCTTATTCGATCGTCGCCCAGGTCGTTGAGCTCGCGACACACAATAAACAATATATTATATCAAATTATATATCCACTCACTGTTTTACTATATGTATATATAGATATAGATGTACAATATATAGGTATAGATTTTAGATTTTTATAATACACTGGTTGTTTATATTTATTATTAATATACACTTGTTCACGCACTGGTTATTGTTGAGTAATCCGATGGTTTATTTAACAAAAACGTTCACAGTTGTGACGTACCAAGTGTGTCAATTACAATAACACTAAGCGGGATACCGTCGGGGTCGGCCGCCATTAAAATTCGACGGACACGGGTTGTACATGGGGGTTGGATACCGTGACTACTACGGCGTGCGCTCCTGTTCCGCCGCCCTCCTCCACGCTCCGAGCAAGCAGTTATCCTGCTCCCTGTACGCTCGCGCTGTCTCGCTTACAACCGCTCACGCGGATATACTTCGCGCTTGCTTTGAATTTCCCGCGGACACTAACGCCCTCTGGTTGAGAATACTGGAAGCTTTTTCATGGAGACGCGGCTTAAGGAGGTAGCGACATCTATTTTCACGGCGTTGTTTTGGTGACTCATCATAATCGTGGAAATTCAGCTCAATGTTTTTTTTGGGTTTCTTCTTTCGCTATGATTCATTTTGCAGGTAGTGGTATTTATTTGGAGATTATTTATGTGAGGTTAATATCAATGATGCTAATTTAGCAGACATCTGAAAAATTTTTTTATTATTAAAAATTAATTAAAAAAAATATTTTTTTAAAGTTTCAACTTGTAATTTTTTATAAGACTGAAGTTAGCAGACGTCTAAAAATTTTTGATTTTTTTTTTTTAATTTAATTACAACTAAAAAGATTATTTATAAAAAATTGCACTTATAGTTTTTTCAAGTTTTTAACATGTGATATTTTTTTTTTAATTGTTTAATTGAAATTTTTTTGAAATGTCAGCTAAAATCATTTTCATAATTTTTTTTAATAATTTAATTGGTTTAAAATTATAAAAATTGACGGATGTTTTTTAAATTGAGTATTATTGAAATAATTTTTTATTTTTATGAAATAAATTTTTAGTATGAGATAATTATGTATGATGATAAATTTAGCAGATATTTCATAATTTTTAGAATTTTTTTTAACAAATAAATTATGGCAAAAAAAAAAATTGACTTATAGAAATTTTTAAAAATTAAAAATGCAATTTTTTAAAAATTATTGATTTTAAGAATTTTTGTAATAAATAAATTATGACAAATTATGGCAAAAAAAAAAATTGACTTATAGAAATTTTTAAAAATTAAAAATGCAATTTTTTAAAAATTATTGTTCAAATCAAATTTGATACAAAAAATAAAAAAATGCTCAAGACTGCTAACATTAATGTAATTTTTTATTGTTATGTAAGAAATTTTGTAAAATGTACTCCAAGAACTTTAAAAAATTTCTTTCTTAATTGAAATTGAATAATTAAGGTCTTTTAGGAAATAAAATTGCTGGAACTAAAAAAGATAAAGCCAATAATAAATGCAGAAAAAAATCTAATACCTTATTTAGAAAATATGCAATTAATACAGATTAAGTTTCCTTTTATAGAAAAAATAAGTACTTGTATTGCAAAAAGAGAGATTTAATTTTTCAAACATGTTGGATAACACAAGACTGGAGACTCTGGATGAATTTTTTTTGGAAAAATGTATATTTGATATTTTATAAGTAGAAACCTTTTAGCTTAGTTCAATTGGATAAAATCAATTATCGATGATAAAACTACTAAATTATTCAGAAAATTTAATGATGAAACTTCAGTATGGTAAAAATATCGAAAAAAAAAAAAGAAGGAAAGCTTTAGGAAAGTATTGATAAATTTAAAGTATGACTTGTTTTCGCGGAAACTTAATAAAAATATTTATTACAGAATTTAAAATATAAATAAAAGTCCCAAAAATGTTAAATGACTAAAAGATATATTAATTGTAATTATTAAATAATTAGTAGAATTTTTATTTATTATTTAAACCTGCACGTAAATTACGACGAATTAAATGCACATCAAAAGCCATTAACAAACACAACCCGTTTAGTTATTTTTTTATCACTCGTCAATTTTTCTTAAGGTTTAATGGCAATTATTGGCTAGTGTCGACTATTTTTAATTGTAAATCATTTTTATTTACAGATTTTTATTACCAAAGCCACGAAAACTGTTTATTATTGTATCAACAGTTTTGTATTTTTATTTCCATTTTGGAAAACTCGTAAAGTATCTTTAATTATTTTCTTTTTGTTTTACATACAAGTGTACATGTAGCGTTTTCTATAAAATAGATGTACTCAAGTCTGCTAATCAACTACTTAAGGAATTTTTTTTTTCTTTTTATAATTACTGAATGTCGATACGAGAAAATTGATCTTTATTTCCAATAAATGTATCGAGGACAAATGTTTGTTTATGTTATTAAATAATTTATAAGATTTTTTTTTTCATTTTCTTTTTTAGTCAATTATATAAAGAAAATTATTTCTATACATTTCTTTTTTTTCTTTTTCAATTATAAGTTAAAAAAAAAAAAACTTATAATTAATTAAAAAAAAAAAAAAAAAAAAGATTTGAAAATTATTTTTAAAATTAAATTTTTTCTTTGCTGAAGGATTATTATTATTATTATTATCATCATTATTTTTAAACCATATAAAAAACTAAAAAAAAAAAAAATCAAAGTAAAGGCCATCAAAAGTCTTAATTTTTAGTATTCAAGCAAATTATTTATACAAGCTTTTAATTCTTTTTTTAAATATTATTAATAATATTTATACGTATTAGGTTTTTTTTTTTCAGTTTATATTTACTAGCCTGCAATTAGGCCTTCGATTACTCTTAATTCTCAACTAAACCGAAAAGAATTAACACAAAAAAATATGTTGAAAAAATAATTGCAATCTTGATATTAATTATACGAGGTTGTTTTAAATAATAAAATTTATTTTTAATATTTAAGATTGTAAAAATCGGTTCTTCTACTCGTACTTTGGATTTTTTTCGTCATTTTATTTAATTTTCTGCATAAAAATTAATAATAATAATTATAATTAATATTAATAATAATAATAATAAATGTAACAATGTTAAATGTTACAATGCTACACTGTAAAATAGTTTGTTTTATTACAATTGATGACAGAGAGAAATTACGTAGACGCACGTTAAGTTTAAAAAATAAACACTTAGTCTCCGCATGACTTGCTCCTGCAGTCGGTCTCAGACTAGTATGTTAAAAATAAAACGTTTTGCATAACGCTGCACAAATTCTGCAGGGCAAAAAAATTAATAATTAATAAATTAATTAATTCATCAACGAATTAATTTATTAATAATTTATAGACAGTAATGCAATTATTTGTATTTCTTTTCTTCTACTTTCGTTAAAAATTTTGAGTTTTAATTATTCCTGGACTCAATTTGCAAATATGTATCGATGTTGTTTTACGTATTGTTATTAAATGTATAACTAAGTATTTTTTTTAAACATTGCGAGATTGTGGTGACAATTGATAATAATAGTAGCATAAAGGGCTAGTGTTCAAAGTTATCGTAATTATTTGATCATTCACTGATGGTATTTGAGAGTAGTGATTTTAAATTATTTCTTTCAATCGTGGGGGGTTGTTTTTTTTAGTTTAATTCCGTATATTTGTTGCTTAGATGTTAATACAGCGCGAAGATAAAGAAGCTGTGAGTAAGTTTAACCCAATGACGGGAAGTCGTGCTCGTCATCAACCTTGGGTGCGTTCTGGGGACGTCCACGTGGTGATCTCTGCTCTACTACTGGAGCTGGAGCCTTGATGACATCCTAAATTAAAACATAATTAAACAATAATTAATAAATTTTATAACTGGAATTTTTTAGATTAAAATTTTCAAATTAAGAGGGTATTCTTGTTTAAAAGCATGAAATTTCAGGTGATTTTTTAAGTCCCGTAAAAAAAAGGCAATCAATATTTTTATCAGTTATTTATTAACATTATAAGAGTCCAGAAAAAAATTAAAAAAGTTGAAAATTAAAAAAATTAGCAGCTGATAAAATGGGGAGGTTCTCAAAAAATTGGCACGTGACTATACCCACAATTCCAACCCTCCTAGCAATTGAAAACAAAAAAATAAAAAAGATTATCAATCTAGAGTAATGTCGCTATGGTTAGAACTACGGTTATCCCCAAATTTCAATTTTTGCTATTTTTAAAAAATTTGAAAGTTAAAAAAAGTGGAAAAAATTTTTTTTTTTTCAGACAGTCGCCATTTTGTGAAAAAATTTTTCTTCAACTTTTCCGTCGTTCTAACCATAGCGACATTACTCTAGATTAATAAAATTTTTTATTTTTTTGTTTTTCAATAAAAAATTCTAAAAATTTTTATATATCGGCTAACTTAATTTTCATGATCCCTCCACTTCATCAGCTGCTAATTTTTTGAATTTTTACCTTTTTTTTTTTTATTTTTTTCTGTATTCTTATAATGTTAATAATCAACTCATAAAAAATGTATAGTAAAAATATTGATTGCCTTTTATACGACACTTCAAAAATTAACTGAAATTTAATGGCTCTAGACCAGAATACCCCCTTAAAAAATTAATTAATTATAATTATTAATAATCTATGAAAAAATATAAAAAAAAAAAATACTTACAGCAGCAATACGATTATCATCTCGGCTCATTCCACCACGGTTACCACCGAAACCGCGACCATTCATGCGGTCACCGCGACCACGTCCTCCACGGCCACCACGTCCTCCAGCGCCACGCCGTGAGTCGCTGAACTGAATCTCAATTTCATAAACGCGTTTTTGCCTGCCAACGCGTTGAGGATACTCAGCAGCGGCGTCGTACTCTTCTTCTTCATCTTCTTCCTCCTCGGCGCCTTCCTTCTTCTTTTCCAAAGCGTACATTTTCTTCCAGCGAGTCAAGTCTTCGCCTTCTCCGGCTTTACGCAAGTTGTAAGTCGGCTTAGCACGATTTCCACGCAAGGCCTTCCATTCATCATAAGTGAGCTCCTTGGTCTCTTCTTCAGCGGGCTTTTCTTCAGCAGAAGCATCTCCAGCGCTAGCCGGTGCTTCTGTTGAGTCTTTAGCCTCCGTTGAAGTCGTTGGCACTTCTTCAGGCTTGTCCAAGTTGCTCCAGTCTTCATTGTTTTCCTGGTTGAGAGTTTCTCTGTTGACAAAATTTTTTTTAATAATTTTAATTATCAAGCACTGATTAATCTGCTAATAATCTAGAGTTCCCACGTGATAAGATTGTTAAGTAATAACAGAAATTAGTTATCAACTCACGCAATGTCATCGTTGTGAGATCCCCAGTTGTGGCTACCAGCGCCGTCTTTCTTGTCAACTGGTTTGACTCCACTGTAAGCATGCCTATTATCATTAATGCAGTCAAACATCAATCAATACGTTGTATTATAACAAATTAATTAGTAAATAAATTAAAATTTTTGGTAATTATTAACAAGTGGGTTCCACCTTAATTTTGGCCATATCTAAGTAAAAAATTAACATTAAAATTTTTTTTTTATTCTGCTTGTTTTTACGGCGCATTTATGATAAAAAAATATATGACAAAAAAATTAAATAGAAATTTCGTTCAAAAATTAAAATGGTGGGCCTCACTTGTAAATAATTACCAGATTTTTATTAAAAATAATAAATATTTAAGGTAGCTAGAATGCTTACCTCGGTTGTCTAAGTTCAGACATAAAATAAAAAATAATTTATAGCAAAAAAAAGAAAACTACTTTAAAAATTTATCAATAAATTACTTAAAAATTTTTTTTGGTTAATAATTAATAAAAAATAAATACTTAAGCATATAATTAAATACTTACGTTCTATCAGAACCAGATTGACGATCAAATTCCCGTTTGCCGCGATTGTCAAAACCACTGCGATGACCGCGTGATCCTCCTCCACGTCCACCACGTGGGCCTAAGCCCCTTTCTCCAGTTCCACCACCACGAGGACCACCACGTGCTGGTCTACGTTCACCAAAGTCACCGCGTGGGCCATCGTTTGGACCACGGAACTCTCGGTTTTCTCGGCCCTCACTATTAAAAATATTAATTAAAATTTATTTTTAATTAATTCAATTATCTTATCTATCATTATCATGATCAGTGACAAAAGACTTTATTCTATCAGTAGAAAGTAGCAATAGTGACTTATAAGACTTTAAATTTATTTTATAGATATTTACCCGGAAGGTCCTCGTCTGTACTCTCCTTGAGCACGAGGGGGACGATCACCGTCTTCACGGTTACGTCTGTTGTTGTGATCCTCTCGAGACTCGCCGGAGAATTTAACGTTGCGATCACCGCCTGAACGCGGCTGAGCTGGTTTTTTCTCAACTAAATAAAAAAAAAATAATAAATCATTAATTACTTTGCTCATTAATTTTTCATTATCTTGTTATTAAATAAAAAGATAAAATATAAAATACGTCTTAAAAATTTATAAAAAAAATATTTTTTTTTTTAAATAAATGATTTATAATAAAAATTAAATATTTAAAAATATATTACTCGATGTAGAAATAGTAATAGTAACTAAATAGTAAGCTCGGTGGGAGGTAAGGTGATAGTTGTATTTTTATCATGCCTCATGGCGGACATGTTGGCTAGACTTGTGAGTAAGCACATGGAATTTTAAATTATTTCTACCGCCCAGCTGTTCTCGAACATTATTGTCTTTTAATTAGATCACAAAATAACAAACTAATAATATTTTTTCCGGCAATCACTCGAATTTTCTGAAAAAAAAAAAAAAAAAAATTTCCAGCTTAACCCTGTTTAAAAATATTCATTGGAAAAAAAAATTCACTATCATGAGATTTGAATTTTTTTCAATAATTCCAATTTCTGAGTAAAATTTTTTTAATTTTTTTCCAATGAATATTTTTAAACAGGGGAAAAAAAAAAAAAAAGAACAAAGAAAAAATATTATTGCCTTATATGGTAACTCGTCATAAATAATGATGCTAAAATAAAATGCAGCTTAATTAAAGTTTAAGATAAAAAATATAGGACCTGAAAAAAGGAATAAAGATTAAGGAAGCTTCTGTTGGATGAAACTCGCGCTCTATCACGCCGGTATATGCTGGTCTAACCCATGAAAACGCGCCAAAGATTAATGATTTTTCAGAGTCCATTTGTCGCGAATAAATTAAAATAAACTGGAAATAAAAATGGTAAACAAGTTATTTAACAATGATGAATTATTATGCGTAAGATAACGCGGCAATTAAAAGGGAGATTAAGTGGATACAGTCGGCTGAATGAACACGAGGTCCGTGGTCGGCCATAGTGGCAAACACGAGGTCAAGTGATTCAGAGTTTTAAGATTAAAATAAATCAACTAACCTTGATCCTTTTTCAACTCCTGGTTAGGCTTCGCCTGCTGCTGTTGCGCATCCTTGATAACGCGGCTTTTTTGGGGTTTCACGCCAGGAGTTTTGGCTGGTGCCTCAGGTTGCTTACTTTTGTTCTCCTTCTCAGAGAGTTTTTCCTTCTTTTTGGCTTCCTTCTCTTGTTCGCGAACTTTCAGCAACTCCAAAGGATCCTCATCTTCGTCCAGGGCCAACAAAAATTTGTTAGTTACAGTGATGCTGTACGTATTCTCCATGGCGATATTTATCCTCTTTTTGACGAGGATTATGCAAATAATTATCGGCTACTCTTGAGCCCTTGTGTAACAGATACATTCAATTTTTCAATATGGCTGAGACGAGAAGTCCGTGTCTACCACGAGGTCTGTGCTGGGCTTGGGGAGGGACCGCATTCAGTCTCAAACCCAGACGCTATCTACCTCCACTACTTTTTTTATTTATCACTTTATTATTGCAGTTAGTTGAACAATTAGATCTGGAAAAATTTATTTTTAATTGTTATGTAATTTTTGTTATTAAATTATTTGTCGTTTATTTGTTATTTAATAAAATAATACGCTCTGGTTTGGTGATCACCAGCCGGGTTTTCATGAAAAAACGCGCTCGGCGTTTTTATTCTTTTAAATACTATTTTTGTTTTTTTTTTTTTTAACTTCTATCATCAACAATTAATTGCATAATGTTAAGTGATAATTATTATTTAGTTTGTTTGTGTTTTTTATGTTAAAGTTCATTGTTTTAAATATTTTTTGCGCCACTTACGGAAAACCGGCAAACTAAAAAGCGCGAAAATTTAAATATTAATTATTTTAACGAGAAAATTTTTATTAAATAAAATAAATTATGACATTAAAGTTAGCGGTCACTTGACCAATTTTTAATTTTATTCAACAATTAAATTAATTCTAAAAAATTATTTTTAAAAAATTACATTTTTAATTTTTAAAAATTTCTACATGTCAATTTTTTTTTCTTATTTTTTTTGTTGTAATTTATTAATTAACAACAGTTCTAAAAACTATCAAATATCTGCTAAATTAATTTTCATAAAAAATTTGTGTTAATGTTTTTTAAATAAATGTTTAAATTAATCAGGTTTTTAAAAATTTCAGTATTATTTTTATTCAAGTGTTATAAAAATTTATTTACAAGTATTTACATGAGGTATATCAAAAAAACAATTATTCTTATGACTATAAATTATTTTATATTTTTTTATAAATACAAATTTAATTACAATATATTTTTTTTAAATAACTTACATAATAAATTACTATAAAATAACAATAAAAAAAAATAAATATAAAAAAGACATCTGAAAATAAATACAATATTAATTACCTAAAAATTATTAAAAAAAATTTTTTTCAATTGATTCTAATAAATACATTTTTAATTCATAACAAAATCATTAGATGTCTTCACATACATTCTTGTTATTTTCGAAAAATATTTACTATTTTTTAATAAAAAATAATGATAGTAAAATTAGCAAACATTTGTACTTGTAAAATTTATAAGTAAAAAAATATTTTTTAAAAATTACACTTAAAATTTTTCAAATTTTCTATGTATTAAATTTTTATGACACTGAAATTAGCTAAAAAATTTTGATTTCTTTTATTAATTAAATTACAACTAAAAAGATATTTATAAAAAATTGCACTTATAGTTTTTCAAGTTTTTTACATGTGAAATTAAAATTTTTCAAATTTTCTATGTATTAAATTTTTATGACACTGAAATTAGCTAAAAAATTTTGAATTTCTTTTATTAATTAAATTACAACTAAAAAGTATATTTATAAAAAAATTGCACTTATAGTTTTTCAAGTTTTTTACATGTGAAATTTTTTTTTTAATTGTTTAATTGAAATTTTTTCATTTTCATAAATTTTTGCTTTGTTCAATAAAAATTTTCAAATGTCAGTTAATTTAATTTCAATAAAAAAAATACCATTCATTTTTTTTAATAAAAAAAATACATCTATATTGCATTTTTTAAATACCATTCAAAATTATTAATAAAAATTATCATTAAAATTTTACAATAATAAATATAATCAACTTTTAAATCTCAAAACACTTGTCATTTATTTCTCGACCACTTACAAAACCCACTCAGCTGATTGGTGATCTTCCAAAAACCAGCGCTTCATAAAAACGCGCACCTACAAATAAACAAAACTAAATGAAATAATTTAAAAAAATACTTAAATAAAAACTAAAAATTTTTCGCTTACCTCATTATAACCACCTTAAATATCTCTCAAATTAACCGGAAATACTTACAAAAACCACTAAAAAAAACCTCTAGTACAGTGCAAAATTTACCTGAGACCCGGCTTGACCAAAATAAGCGACGCCGAATTTTTATTAGTGTGTATAGTGTAACAAAAAAAGTCGCGCCATTGTTGTTTGTTCGACAGAGACTTGTCCGGGCAGCTGCTGAAGTAATAAGCTGAAGATGAAGCATTTGCTTGCAGCCCCGCGGGTGAGCGGAACGAGAGCGAGAGAGAGGGGACTAGGCATACTTTTGTAGCCGGGTGTATTATTTTTTGGCGGTTTGAATCAGTTGCACGCGGCAGCAGTCCCGATAAAGCATACGCGAAGTAAGGTGGCGCGCTTGCGTTCTTACTCATGCTACACGAGTGAGAATTACAATAGAGCAAGACTACAATTTATTAATTTTTTGTAAATTATTATATATCACCGAGCATACAATCAGTTAATTTACATCATTACAAATTAAGTACTATACGTCAAACAAGCTTATCAATGATCAACAAAACGGACCGATCATTATCGCCAATAGTAATTAAAAATAATAATAATATTAATAGTTCAGTTATCAGTTAGTTAATAAATAATTAATTAATTGAAATTAATTAAAATTAAAATATTGAAAAAAATTAAGTTTGTTTTATAAAAAAGTGATAAAAAAAAAAAAAAAAAAAAAAAAAAAGCGTTGTGAAAAATAATATAACAAGAGGGATGGAGATGCATACGCCTCAAAGGGACGTACGTTCAGCAGACGCGATGATGCCAAGAAGCCCACCGATGAGTGATACAACGCTGTACCCCTGGAATTGGGGTGAGGAGGCAAGAAATGTTAATCTCAGCCCGGGCAGCTCCTGCTCTTCACCAGAGTACCGGGATCATCACCACAGCGGCAGCAGCGGTTCCTTGAAAGCCGGCGTTACACCTGGAACTAGAAACAGCAATGAAAGTCACAGACGTGGTAGACCTCGTGCTGATGCTTTGACCAATCTGATGATGCAGGGCAGCACGTCGCCCAGCAGCATCAAGTGCACCTTCTGCAACCGGGTCTTCCCTAGAGAAAAAAGCCTCCAAGCTCACCTGAGAACTCACACTGGTAAAATATTTCTTTTTAAGTAATGTGTGTTTTTATTTATATTTATGAAACAATTGAATGTTTGGTGGTATTTTAGGTGTTTTATTTACTTTTAGATTTTTATGAATGGGGCTTATTATGAAGAATTATTTTAAAAGGTTGTAGAGGACTTGACTGATAAATATAAATTGTGGAGGAGTTGAATCGTGGATTATCTGTAACTGGGCCATGATTTATTGTAATTTGTTAGTAAGATTGTAACGGTTACGCGAGAGCACGCGTCCCGCCAAGCCAACCGCCATCACGCGCTTTAAATTGTTAAATGGCTACTCTCACTTTACTCACGACTCACAACAGACTTGGACGAGTAGAGTATTAGGTAGAGGCTCTTCATTCTGTACTGGTTTCTTTGTGTACAGCTGAGAAACTTACGCTGGCTGTAGTAGCGTAGTGAGCACGTAGTAGCTTTTTTAAAACATGTGGCTTATGATAACATCTTTTTGTTTACTTTTTTACTATTTGGCTGGTTGTTGAGTACTTTCAGTCGGTGCATGCTCTTATTGTTGGTACTGTTGTTGGAAATTTACTTTTTTTTTTTGTTTAAAATTTTTGATTTTTTAGATGAACTTTTCTTTGATTATTGTAAAGATTTTTTTTTGGTAATTATTTACAAATTGTCCACTATTTTAATTTTCATTTTTTTGGACGAAATTTTTATTTAGTTTTATTGGTATATTTTTTTTTTTTTAAATATATAAAAAAAATAAACAATTTAAAAAAAAAAGTTGATAATCACAATTTTAAGAAATTTGATAAATTTTTGTTAATATTATCGTCCATAATTATCAATAAACGAACAATTGAATATAAAAATTTTATAAAAAAATTTTACTTATAAATTTTTTTTTTAGAAAATTGTGATACAGTAGAACCTCTATAACTCAAACTCCAAGGTAGAGGCAAAAAAATTCGAGTTAAAGAGGATTTCGACTTAGGCGGATTTTGATTCGACATAAAGAGGTTGAGATTCATTTTTATAAATTTTGAGGTATAGGGGTAAAATAAATAAAAATTCAAGTTTTAAATTTTTAAATTCGTATCAACGTGAGTCATTAATTTGGGTAATTCTATTCATTGTCTACTCCTAAGAAACAATGGTGCAATGATAAAAAAAATTAACTTGACTCAAGAGCCTTAATCTTGAACTAAGTCAAGAAATTAATCTTGGTGTAAGTAAATTATTCTTTTCATAAGAATTTATTCTCTTGACTCAAGAAAATCATTTTCGTCAAAATTTTATTCTTGGTTCAAGATTTTGGCTCTTGAGTCAAATTAATTTTTTTTATCAGTGTGTACTTGCACTGTCGGCAAATTCTTGAAGGTGTTAAAAGTCTCAAACAATCAAGTTGTAGATGTTATAAAATAAAACATTGCTATGTTCGAGATACAGAGGTAAAATATAATTTTTCGAGTTATGGAGGGAAAATATGTACATAAATAGCTTGTAGGGACTCACTAATTATTTCGACTTATAGAGGTTAAGAATTTCGAGTAACGGAGGTTTTGGGGCTTGGAGGGAAGGGGATGAAACATTTCTTTGAGTTAAGGAGGTTTTCGACTTATCGAGGTTCTACTGTATTAAATTTTCTTTTTAAATTGTTCGTTTTTTTATGTACTTAAAAAAAAAAAAATATTAAAAAAAAAGATAAAATAGAAATTTTATCCAAAAAGATAAGAGCCAAAATTTTTTTCAACTTTTGAAGGCAAAAAAAGCTATCAAAATCTTTATTTTTTTTTCACTAAATTTTTTATCATAAATGCGCTATAAACACGCATAAATACGCTATGAACACGCATAATAAAAAAATGTTAATTTTTCACGTAGTTATGGCCAAAAATAAGGTTGACCCATTAATAATTACCAAGTTTAAAAAAAAAAAAAATTTGCCGTTTATTTTTTTTTATATCTTTAAAAAATTTTTAAGATTTATAAATGTTTAAAATTTTTCATTAAAATACCATTTAAAAAGTTTTTAAATTTTATTCTCTATCAAGAAATTTTTATTTAATTTTTAAATTACTTAATATTTAAAAAAAAAAAAAAATTAAAAACATAAAATAATAAATTTTTTCCAGGTGAGAGACCGTACCCATGTGATTACCCAGGATGTACAAAAGCATTTACCCAATCAGGCCAATTAAAGACCCACCAACGACTGCACACGGGAGAAAAGCCATTTTTATGCACTGGTCCAGGATGTGAGATGAGATTTACGCATGCAAATCGTCACTGTCCAGATCATCCTTACGCGACACTAACCCGGTCAGATGACTTTGTCCTCAAACCAGTGTCAGGTAACACCGAACTACCCCACGACGTAACACGATGGCTGGAGCGCTACAAAATGGCCCGAGATCGCGAGGACCGAACACCTACCGGGAAGGACCGCAAGAAAAAATCCTGGAAGAGCTGCTCCGATTACAAAAGACTAAAGTCCCGAAAAGGATTGATGATGGACGCCGGGGAGCAGGAGAACCGGGACTGCAAGTCTCCAAACCAGCGAATTTACTGCAGCGAGAGCCAAGACAGCCAGGAGGAGAGTCAGGACGACGAGGCGACTGAAGCTTGCCAAGTTCTTCACCACTCTGAAGACGAAGATTCCGCCGCGACCACTGCCACAAAATTATCCGCGACTCCAGTGCGTCCCATGTTCGACAGACTCCAGCCGAAGAAGCGATGGCTTCGCGAAGCTTGTCGGGAGCAACTCGCGAAGCCTTTGGAGTGGGACTCGCAGCCCAAGAGACCATTAATCGAGCAAGATGAAGCGCAAATTGAAAGTACTCCCCTGAGAAGTGTCTCTTGTATTCGGAATTTCAACGAAGAAGTAGATTTTCACTCTCTCGCGCCCGATAAATTAGAGGAAGAACCCAGTGAAGCTGCGAAAGGGTACGCAAGACCTCTCTGGCGGTCCGCGTCGCCCAAGTCCAGGTCTGACAGAGTTGGAATGAACGTAGCTAAAGAACTGGTGTTTGACGAAACACCACTCCAGGAAACACCACCTCAGAACCTCTGGAGCCATCAATCTATTAATAGTAACCAAGTGCCAATGTCCAATGACCTCTGTCGCGGTAGTCTAGTTGATAATTTAATTACTGATTCAAATATTAATGATAATTTAAGCGTTACTGATTTATCCTGGGGCCGTGATACCAGTCGTGATTTTCAATGTAGTCTAGCGAACGATAATTTAAATGATATTAATTTAAACCCCACTGATTTATCCTGGAGCAGGGATAATACCGTTCGTGATTTACACTCTAATGATAATTTAATTAATAATGTTAATAATTTAACAAATAAAAGTGCTACTGATTTATCATATAAACCTCAGGGTTATGAACAACTGCCTCGTTTACCTCAGCTTAGAGTCGAAGAAGAGCTAAATAAAACAAGATCCGATAATGGAACCAGGCCTACTGTTCTAATGCTCGCTGGCAGTCATTCTCATCACGACTCACGTAATATCGTCCAGAGAGTTGGTTATAATAATGACAACAGTAGTATTTGTAATAATAATAATAATAATAATTGTAAAGTTATTGGGGCTGAATCTGGAGACCAGATTGTAAAAGATCCAGCGAGTAGTAAACCTGACAATAAAAAATGGATGGGTGCTCTGGCGCTTATGGAACTCGCCAAGACTCAAGAAGAAGATGACCGGGCTCAAGCCATCGGGTCCGTAGACACTACTGAGATTATGGCAGTTCACTCTGACTTAAAGTATACTCAACTTTAGACTGTGATTTACATTACTAAGCTCATTATTTGATACATTGATAAGCATTGATTTATTATTATAATTATTATTAATTAATATAGATATTATATGTATATTTTTCATTGTCTTGTTACTTGCGTTTAAATTTATGTTACTTCCAAAGAGTTATTAATTTTTTTTTATACAACTCGTGGATTAATTATTTAATTATTTTTGTACAAAGTAATTAGCGGAACGTTTTCTACTGTTGATTATTTTTTTCATTTATTATTATTATTATTATTATTATTATTAAGGGTAAAGTAAGATTTAATTGTGAAGCTTCCATAATTTATATTTTATCATTACATATGGCTGTTGATAATAAGTTTAATTTTGTGTGATAAATGGGATAATTGATAACATGAAAAAATGATTGATTAGATTATTATTATTATTATTTTTTTTTGCTAATATTTTGAGCAAATACGATTTAATGAGGCATTTTAAAATCTAAAGTTGTACGGCGGATTTTTCTATTTCTAAAGTATTCGGATTGTTATTTTTAGAAATAGAAAAATTTTAAGCTTTCATGTTTGTACGTGGGATTAACTCAAATAGATTTCTCTTCTGGAATTTTATTTTAAATTTAATTATTTATTTAAATACAAAATAAATAGATTTTTTTGTTAATTATTTATTTTGTGTTTAAAGATTGAAAAAAAAAAATACTTGAATTTATAATAAAATTCTTGAGATTAAAATAATTGGTAATTGGTATGCAGTTTTAAATCAAAATTATAAATTTAAAATCAAAATTATTCATTTGAAATTATATTTGTAAGGTTAAATTATTTTTCGATTTAATGCATGAACAAAATTAATATATTTGTGCATTTAATTTAGTGCCTTCAATTGAAAAAGTAATCTGTTTAGGTAAAATTTTTTTTTTTTATTAGTATAAATCGATGATTGAAGCCGCAATTATTTATTGTAACTTATGAATGATAAATTAAAAAACGAAAGTCGATTAAAAGAACGTTTGATTTGAGAGACAATGTGTGATATTTAAATAATTAAATAAAAATGCAAGACTTGGTATTAGGGCCAATGTTTAACTCAATTTTTCGTTGCAGTATTTAAGTTGAACAAAATATCTTTAAAAATAAATTGAGAAAAATCTGTTATTATTTATGCCATGTTTAATATTATTGATAAATTCGATCAGTAATATTCGTAATTGCAATGTCGGTGATTTTGTATTGAATTATGATCAGGTAGCATCATCTAATCTTTCTAAAATTTCTCCAACTACAAATGTACATACAATATATATTTTAATAAACTTTTCTAATTTCATGTAAAAAATATTTTTATTTATTAAATCCTTAATATTTAAGAAAATTATTTATAATAAATTTATTAAATCTTAAATTTTCATATAATAAAAAAAAATTTTCAATTACTTTTCATTTTTCTTTTAATTAAAGAAAAATTTTTAGGATAAAAAGAGTTTAAAAGAAAAACTAATATTTAATTTAATTTAATAGGTATAAAATTGATACAATATTTAATTAAACTTTTTTTTTATTTAAAAAAAAAAATATTTAAACTTAAAGTTAATAATACACATGAATTGAAAATTGATTTATTTGCTAACAAAATTTATTAGTAAAATGCTTTACAGATTTACTTACAAATAGTACTAACATTCCAGCCACTCATTACATTTAATCTATAAAAAGTAATAAAAAAAAGTTTTTACAAAAATAATTTTAAGACCAGTTTTCCACTTATGACTCTTTTAAAATTAAATAAACGCACCAATAAATATAATTTAATTTCCCATGAATGTTGACATTATTTTCAACATCTTGGTTCGAAAATCTGGCTTTTAATTAAAAAAATAATTCATTAACATCTAATACAAATCACCCAACTTCCATCAATTTCTCTGTTTCAAAATTTTAAATTTATCTATACCAGGTTCGGATTTCTTCACAGCGAGGCGTCTTGACCTTCTTGGTTCTTCAGTGCTACTATTCTCAACAATTTCCTCCTTATTTTCCGAATCAATTACTTTCTTCTTCTTCTCAGTATTTGTACTAAAATTCCTATCTTGGGTACTTTTGATCTCTTTCGCACTCAAATCTTTAGATTTGCTCCTTGATTTCTCAACAGTTATATCTTGACTAATATGTACAGCTTCTAAGTCCTCAATAACAGTATCCAGTTCATTCTTTGCCTCTACTTTCAAATTAGTCTTAGCTCTTGCTGTTAAACCAGACCTTGTTTTACGAACCTTTGAATTATCACTAATCTGCAAAGCTTCTAAATCACTAACATTATCATCAAGTTCACTTTTACTTTTCTGCTCTTTGGTAGCTTTAGAATTCTCCTTGACTCTTTCCGAACAATTATTTTCTATTCTTGTCCTAGATTTACTAACATTACTATTACCATCACCTCCAGTCACCTCCGACTTAACCTGAATCTTGCGAAGAAGATTAAGGTCCAAATTAGCTTTTTTAATAGACTTAATCTTAATCTTCGGAGGATTAAGATTAAGATCCTTTGACTGTTCCTTGTTCTCCGAAATTTCTTCTTTAGAATCTCCGGAAGCTTGACAAATCCCCGAGTTAAGATCATTACTTCTACTCCCAATCGGAGTAAGATACTCCGAGTCAGAAATTTTCCGTCTAATAGGTTTGACCTTCGTGATCCTGCTCGGTTTCTTGACAATCTTCACCTGATCATCACAAGTAACAACAGGTGTCAAGCAATCATTGTCTTCTTCAAATCTATCAATACTCGCTCCAGTGAAGGTAATAATAGGCGGAGTATTTCTTCGTTTGAATTCAACTATAGTTCTAGCATCTCCCTTAACAGGTGTTGCACAAATATCTTCTCCAGCTGCCATTTCATCACCAAGCTCTGCTCTAGTATCAGAAACGACAAACTTATCATAAAGATCAGCTTGAAAAGTCTCCTGGAACCTTGCTTCAAAAATGAACTCCTTCAAGTTAAAATAAACTGGGTGATTTTTAATTTTGTGCTTTTCACAGATACTTAATGCATAAATAACCATACTCAGAGCATCACTACCTCCATTTGGTACCGAGTACTTGATAAACTTTCCAAAATCCAGCAAGAAAAGCACAAACTCAACATAATGCTGGGAGACAGTCTCAAAATTCTCCACCTTGAAATCAATTAGCTCCTTGATAATCTGCAAAGCTCCGTGAAAATGATCCACCGCTTGCTCAACATTGTTCTGCGCCGCGTAAAGCTGAGCTCGTATATGCGTACAAGAAAACACAAAGTACTTGTAAGCAAAATTAGTACATTTAAAACACTTGCAATCTTTTTCATGTTCCATAAAATCAGGCGAAGAAAATATTTTAGTCATCAGCACCGGAGATCCGTCATTGTGAGGAATATCACGGACCAGTTCAACCGGTCTCAAAGGAGAGTTATCACAAAAAACCCTGACACCTTTCTTTGATTTAGTCGCTTTCTCAAAATCTAGCTTCTCAGAGTCCAGCTTCAAAATATACTCCAGTCCCTGAAGCTTGACTTCGCAATCCTCCAATTGATTCCGCGACAAATCAAGAAAGCAGAGATTTTTTAGACACTCTGCCACGTGGAGAGTCGATCCTAATTTCTGGACTACTTTCAAGCGGCGTATCAAGTGCGCAGATATCTCTCGGTAAGACAACAGACTGTTCATACGCAGCGTTATGTGATTCGTGAACTCCATGGCGGTGTCCAGTCTGTAGAGTAGGTCCTCTCTAGGAAGGTTATGGGAGGACAAAAAATTATCTTCGATTAATATCACCGTGTACAAACCTTCAATTATCGCCTGCATGTACTTGTGTTTATTGAAGCAGTCGTCGTGGTTCAGCCGCTCGGATATCAATATGTCCATCGCGTAGAGATAAGTTGGGTAATTTTTAGTGAATTTAATCCCAGGAGTCTCCAAAGCTTCATCGAACAATTTTTTAGCCTCGTTAATTCGCCCTAGGTAAAAGTAATAGCTTGACAAGCTGAATTTCAACATTGCAACGCTCTCGATTATTTCTTCGTCGCAAGAGGCTTTTAATTTCTCAGCTGACTCCTCGGCGAGGGTGATCCACTGGGTGATCAGGTACCTCGACATGATGCTGCGACTACAGATGTACATTATAGACCGCTCGTCTTTGAATTTACTCGCTAAGCTCATCGCCAGCTGCCATGCTGATATTTCCGCTCCGCGGAAGTTGTAGAACTTCGCGTACTCCCCGGCGATTATCACGAGCCTTGTCATCATCTTAGGAGTTAAATATTTACCGAAACTCTCAATCAGGCCTTCTTGCTGGCAGTACTTGGTCCAGAATTCCAGCACTCGTAATAAAGAAGCTTCCAAGTTTGAAGAAGTGGTGATGTTTATCAGGCTGTAAGCTGGAACTACGTTGCTCGCCGGGTCGCCTCGGGTTTTTACAGACAATCGCATGGTAGATGTCAGCATTTCAGCTTCAATTGTGCGGCGAATGTTTCCGAATTTTTGGATAAATAAATAAAATAATAAATTTCCCAGGAGCAATTGTCTTGATGGTGTTTTTGGTGATTTTTTTAATTCCAACTTAGCTGTTGTAAGGAATTTTTCTAGAGACTCGGAATTTTGGACGTCCAGCTGATGGTACCCGAGCAAGTGGATCGCCTGAGCGTATTCTATCGGATCAGGATTTAAAGTTTGCAATAATTCAACCACTACTAAGATTGAAGACATCATATTCATTGGACAATTCTCCAAGCCTTTGATTTCTTGCAAGCATATTTGTCGTTTCTGAGAGTCGTCTAATAAAACCGTGATTCCAAATCGTGCTGCCGTCTTGTTAGACTCAAGACACTCTACCATGGTCATAGACTTTGCTGAAGAGTACCGGTACTTGCAGTTAGCCCAGGTACGAAAAGATGAACCTTCTCCGGTACTCAAGCCTACATACGCGCTCAAAGAAGCGACCTCCATAGCGGCTCTGTAGTTTTCGTTGTGGTAATGTGTAGATCCAAGTCGGTGTAAGCAGAGAGCTAGGAAATTTTCTTCTGGGTCGAGAAGCTTCTCCACTTCGAAGCTCTTGATCTTGGTGCACAGTAGCTCGCTGAATTTAATATAATCTTGGTAGTGATTTTTATCGTACTGAAGAATAATATTGAAAATTCTTGAACAGCAGGGAGTCCAATTTTTTAACCAAGATTCACAATTGTTTTCTTTTAATTCTGAAACGATGGTGACGCAGTTTTCGAAGACAGAAAACCCGATTTGTCTGAGGTCTTTGGAAGTCGCATCGATTCGGGATAGGATCAAAAGAATTCGAAGTTTAACTCCAATAGAATTCCAAATATCTTTTTTTACTGTACACTTGTTTGACGAGCATTTATTACAAGAGGAAATTTCCATCTGGGAAAATAAATCAGCCTGATGGATTATCAAGCTCAGAAGCTTGGGTACTAATTCTACAGGAATGCCAAACTTTTCTTTTGTCTTGGCGTAAGTTTCCCAGTAAATTAAGACGAATTGAAGCAGCACTGATGCGTTGTTGGAATTTTTATGCACTGCGTTCTCGATACCGTATTTTTTGATAATTTTATCGAGCGTTTGGATGTAAGTTTCAATTGTGTCGACGGTAAATTTGTCAAATGCAGAAACTGGTCGTGTGAAAATTGAGCACAAGAGCTCGTACATTGCAAAGCATTCTTCGATTTGACAATCGGGTTTTACTGCCTCACGGAACAGGTCGAAGAGCTGCTTGATTTTTTTCCCTGAAATTTTGTTAATTCCCTTGATATTTAATTTATCCGACAAGATGTCGGTAATCAGTCTTAGGAAACTTTCGTAAGTACGGTACTGGTCTTTCGTTCCCAGAGAAATTTTTGTGTCAGTCAATGTCTCGATTTTCAAGATGAAGCTCTGGAAGTCTTCCTTGTACTTTTCATCTTCGTAGGACTTTATTATCAAGAAGTAGGAGTCGAGGTCGTTGATGAACACTCGGTGCTCGCCTGGGTCGCAGAGCAAGCGCAGTCTTAGCTGGTAATTGATCAACCCTGTCGCCTTCTCAAATCTAGTTTTGTTAGATTTTAAATAACTGACCAGACTTGTGGCCCACAAAGTTGTCAGTTTTGAAATGTAGGATGGATCTTCGACTGCTGAGGACCATACTGTACCTGGTAAGAAGTGGTCTGTGACTTTAAGGGCCTCTTGGTGGTGCTTTGAAAAAAGAAATATTCTTATCACGTGGTATAGTGATGAAAAATATTTCACTGGGTCTGAGATAGATAATAACTTCGGGTGGATTGCGCTGATGATCTCGGTTAATTCTGTAGCTGTAGATAATGATATTTTTTCGTGGGATGTTACGTAGTGGCAAATAACCACCAACAGACGTGTCCAAGATGTGTCTAATTTATTTGATGGTTTTATATCAGCTTCCTGGAATTAATAAAAAAACTTTATTAGTAATTGAAAATTATTTTAGTTATTACTTATTTAATTGACCGCTTATTGAGTTAATTAGTTTTTAAGTTTGCTGACTATTGGAATTTTTTTTAAATCCAATCAGCTGTTTGAAAATTAATATCTTTAATTTATTTTTTTTTTTTATTCATCAAATATCTGTTGATATTTATTAATAAATTCTTTTTTTTTTATCAATACATTTTTTCATTGAAAAATAAAAAATAATGTCTTGAATTTTATATCATGGGTGTTTTCTATTTTTTTTTTTTTTAAGAAATTGAAGTTGAGAGACATTTGACAATTTAAAAAAAATTTTACACGATAAATAATAAAGACAATAATTAAAGAAAAAAATAATTTGATAAAATATTGCTATGAAAATTTATTAAAATAATTATTTTTTAAGAAAACTAAAAAGTAATCAGTTTATTAATTATAATGTCATATTTTTACCTTTATTTCTTGAGCAAGACCTTCAAATTTCCCTGCTTTCAATAAATCTTCCCACTTCCGTAATAACTGTGTTTCAGACATTTTTGATTATTTACTTATAAACAATATCTAAATGTAAAATCCACTTGCTAATTTTTGCTACAGCAAACTTAAATCTGCAAAAAAAATATTTTTCATTGAATATCATTTTTAGTATTAATTTATACTTATTATAAAATACTTAAGATCTTCATAAAAATCTTAAATAGTATGAAAAAAAAAAATAATTAATAAATTATAAAGCTCATAAAAATGTAAACATATATTGATACTGATACTAACCTTTAAAAAAATCCCGCGGAAATCATCACTTAGAAGTTATTCTAAAAATGACACCTTACTTTTTCTCATTTTGAGTTTAATTTAACAAATTAATAAATTTATCTCAATTTTTTAATTAATAATAATCAAAACAAATAAACAAAATGATTGTTGTTGCATGAAACACTCTTACGACCGTTATATTTGCTGAGATGTTTTCATATGATTATAACTGAACAGTTAAAACACAGCGCTGCCGGGAAATTCTTACCTTTTTCTTCAGTCGATAAGATTAGTAGTGGTGGCGCTGCTTGTTTTTTCACGTGAGCGAGATGAGCGCGCTTTTAATGTCAGAATTCAAAATATTTATAAATAATTCTTTATTTAGTTTTTTTAATTGACAAATTTAATTTATTTTTTTAAAATAAATAAATTTAAATCTAAAATAAATTTTTTTTAAATAAATAATTTTAATCGAGTAATCTTTTTTTTTTATTATTTAACAAATAATTAATTAAATTTGAACTAATAATAGCTTTTTAATTTGTCATATTTATTTATAAAAATTTAGTTTTAATTTTTTAATTTAAAAAAAAAAATATTTTTTTATAATGAAATTAAATAAAAAATTCAATCAGAAAAAAATTTTTTTTAATAATTTTTACTTTTATTCAAAATTTGCAGAAGAAATAAATAAAAAAAGTCAATTTTTTATTTTTTCTAGAAAAAAAAATTTTTTTTTTTTTTTTTTCATTAAATTAAATTGAAAATTTAATCAAAAAGATTGTTTTTTAATAATTTTTACTTTCATTTAAAATTTGCAAAAAAATGAATAAAAAAAAGTAAATTCATTCTGACAAAAAATTGTTTGAAGCCTCTTTTGACGTATTGATTTAAAATTGTAATGTTTGTTAATTCTAGTCTTATAAAAATGAATTACTCTTTGTAAATTAACCAAGAGAACAATAAGAGTGATAATCCTTGGTCTATTAACGGATACACGAATTAATTAGTGGGTGCCAGAAATAACCGTGATATGACTGCAGGATCGATTAGGAGTAAGATTGGCTGACGGGAAGATTTTCGGTCCAACTAACAGCAATTGGATTTCTGATAATCATAGTAGGTGTACCGGTACGTGCTGCTATTACTAGGTCTATACTATCTCTGGTAGTATTATATTGCGGAGCTCGTATCACTTGATAGGAGTCTCTGGTCTCTGACGAAAGCTTACTGAGAGCTTTGCAGAGAATAGTTCCAGCACGGGGTGAGTTTAGACGGCGTAGTAGTGGTGAACTCGTGGCAACAGTGGTAGTAGCCAACAGAACAGAACAGAAGAGTATATACAGTGATAGTGACAGCAGGTTGGTGGATAACGGCGGTTACTGGGAGGGGTGGCGGGTGGAGAGGCCTCCGAAAGGTACCAGAGAAACCCACAACCCTCGTATGAGCTCTTCCAACGTCCAACACTTAACAATCCTCTGGCATGCCTCTCGACATAATATAATTAATATGGATGTACGACACACTAACGCAGCATTGATCGTTTATCAATTTTGTCCCACTGTTATGGATATTTATATTGTCAAGTGTAGATTTTATATTATACATATGTAATGCTGCATATATCTAGATTTTTATTTTTACACAAGTTTTATTATTCTTCTACTAATAATTTTTTTTTTTTAATAATAATTAGCCGACTCATGAGAATTTTTATTTAATAATGTGAAAATAAAAGAATTTAAAAAAAATTTTTTTTTTATTAATTAATATTTGAATTTAGTAATTTAAATATTATAAATATAATTATTAGATTTTTCTCATCAAATATTGTGTGGAATATTAATTACGTTGATTACATTAATTTATGTATATGTATAAATTTAATGTTCGTTGCATCAATTCATAAAAAGTTTTTTTTTTATTAATTGTTTAACAAAAAAAATTTTTTTAAATAAAAGAAAGAATTATTTTGAAGAATATAAATATTTTTCGCATGATTTAAAAAATTGTTCAAAATAATATTTTTGGTTTAAAATATTTTTTCTTTAATGAAGTTAATTTTTCTATCAATGTATAACAAGAATATCTCATTTACAATCTGATTTTTTTTACACAGACAAAATTATTGTCCGGAAAGATTAAAAAATTCTTGGTTAAAAATTTTGTTAATTTTCGGAAAAAAAATGATCAATATTTGTTTTCAGTTTGATAAATATAAAAAAAACTATTTTAATAAATTGTAAAAATTTCAAGCATCGAAAAATAAAAGCGATTTTTAACTAATAAAAATAATAAATAGAATTTATATAGGAAACACAAACAAATGAAATGTAAATCCATTGAAAGTGGCATTATCGAGTTTTGACGAGTGGAACACACACCCGACAATTTACTATTGACTCTACAACGCTTTAAAACCGAATAAAAATAAACTTTAATATAATATTTTTCATTTCAGATCGGATGTGAACGATAAATTTTATAAATACTATCAGCTCCCACGCGATATAAATGTTGACTGAAAAAGTAATTAATTCACCTAAATACGAGTATATCGTGCGTGTTTCTGTCAATTATATTTCAAGGGGTCCTTCAAAAGAGCCGGATAAATTTTTCAAAGACTGAAATTTCCTCACTATTACAATTTTCATGAACAGCATTTTAATTATAACATAAAAGTTATGACATGATACAAAATTCCGATAGATTAACGGCGCAATTTATTTTTCATGCAGCATTAAAAAAAAGAAGGTATATTTATTTAATAAACGTACAATATTTAGAGTGACGCTAACGAGATATTAAATTAAACGAGTTACGGCGATACAAAGCAAACGCAATGTACCGAAATAAATAAGTAGTGAAAATCTTGATGAGGCTGATTAAAATGAAATATGCATTTATTATTAAATACGCGCGTAACAGAAATGATATCACATTAATACATATCATATCATGATTGTGTTATACTTCTGTCCGTGGTTTTGTATATATAATTAATAGACAGGGGATATTTATTAAATTATTAGCAGTTTGAGTTAAAAATAAGTGTGTTTAATAATATATGTAATATATAATATATAAATGACAGTATAATGCCGGGATATGATGGTGAATAATAATGACATAAATCATATCGTTTGAAAACGTATCGCAGATCGGTTGGAGCAGGTGTTAGCTCGTCTTTCGAACGGATATCGTAGTCATAATGACGTAATGAGGAGATTCTCGAGCGTTTGGATAATGATCGATATTCGGAAGTAGATGTGATTGTAGATGGTAGTGTTAATGTTGATGATGATAACGCGAGAATGGAAAATCAGCTAAGTTGTATGAGTAGTTTAACATAAATGGGTACGTGCATCTATAAATATGTATGTGTGTATGTATGTAGATAACACACATAATTCCCACCAATACATGATAATACGTGACTCCATGCAGAAGTTGAGCTTTACATGGACAATGGACATATCCACGGAGAGGGAATGACTATCTATATGTGTATGTATGGTATAAGAGATAGCACACGTGACCAGAGAAGGACACGTCGGTGCACGTCAATTGGAATTTCATTAATCGAATCGTCGTGGGCGTGATAACCGACCCCCGAGTTCTTCCACAGTTCTCCGATAATTCGTTCCATCGCTCAGATTAATTATGTCTGCTGGGGATTACCGAATGCACATTTTTTAATTACTAGTCATGGTTTTAAATGTCTTTGGATAGTTTTTATCCTGGAATTTAAGCTAGGGATTTAGAGTTACTCTTGGGTTAACTCGGAAAACTTTTTAAATTATTGAAAAATTGTAAAATGATTTTGTTTTGTTGTGATTCGAAAAATGAAAGTCTGCAAAATAATTTTATTGGATCAAGAATTTTACTCTTGTCTAGTTGATTTTTTTGGCAGTGTAATTATTGATTTTAGTATAACATTTAAAAGTGATCGGGTTAGGAGAAAATATTTGAGACATATTATTGCCAGCGTTTTGTCAATTACTAAATTTTTTAAAGCACTGTCAAAAAATAGAGTTCCATGACAAAATCTCCCCGACAAAATACGCATCAAAATCTCGTGGTGCCTTTTTATCATGGTTTTTGTGTATATACTTATACGAAATAGACCATCACAACTGTCAGGGATAATAATATTATAATTTAAAATTAGATTTTAGAGAGGAGATTGCACGGAAAAAGTACATTTTATAATGTAAACGTGGCGCTCCGTATAGAAAACCCGGAAAAATTACAGTTTCAGATAGTAATTATTACAAATTTTGTAAGAATTACATTGTAAAATGTAATATTTACATTTTAATGTAATATTTACAATCTGAAACTGTAATTTTTACAGTTTTCTATACGGAGTGCCTGCCACATAGAAAAAAAATGTTCTTGAATCAAGTGTATAATTTTGAAGAACTTAATCTTTTGATTTGAGTAGAAAAATTCTTGAACTAATACATTTTTCTTGATTAAGGAAATTTTACCTAATACTAAAATTTTTCATCTTGATTCAAGAAGAATTACCCTCTTCAAAATTATATTCTTGGTTCAAGAATTCTCTCGAATCAAGTTAATTTTTTTTCAGTGCACGGAAAAAAGAAAACTCGAAAAATTACATTATAAATAGTAATAAGTGTCCCGCCGTATTAAAAACTAAAAAAATTACAGTTCGAAATAACATTTTTCTAAATTTAAACTTTGAATGTTAATTTTCAGAGCTTTCAATATAAATATTACATTCTACAATGTATTTCTTATAAAATCTGTAA